CAACAACCATTATTCCAACTTTTAGGGCAAGAATCGTCTTCATTTGTTGGAGGAGTTTTCAAGAAGGCCAAATTTGTCTTAAATTCCCCAACCTTCTCAAGTCCCTACTATGTGGTGGGTACTTTCAATTTCTCAATTTCATGTAGTTTTCCAGGAGTTTTATAATTCTCAGTAGGGAAGGTTCGTCTTCTTCAAGCAATAGCACTCGTATGCAGTACCCTTTGCAATACTGTACATATTCTCAGTAGGCTAGGAAATTCTCCTTCCTTTTAATGCATGTTCAAAAGTCTTATGAGTCTCTGCTGGCACTCCACATGACCAATCATGCCTGAGCACTAATACATGTGCCACTAGGCACCCTGGAATCCAGGATTTTCCTGTGGGACAGGTACACAGAGAAGAAACAGTAGAAAGATGATGAAGTTTTTTAAAAAATAGAGTGAGTATGTCCGAGAAGAAACCATTTTTCATTTTCTATGCTGCTCTAGAATTTCTAGGAATTCAGTCTCTGTACATGTTTGCTGAGCAGTGATTTCCATGTCTTTTCCTTATCTTGTGAGGGAGGCTTTGGCTTTTGACCTGGGCAAGTTCCTACGTCTGTGTATGTATTTGCAACCCAGTTTCAAAACACACATCCTAATAAAGTCTTCCTGCAGATACTAAGTGGTTTCAAAAACCCATCCTCCAATTTCAGGATTATCTGAGAAACTAGTAGATTACGAGTCAAGACAGTCTGTACTCACAGCTCATTTGGAAAACAGATACCCAGGGGAAGGATCAGTTTTCTAAACATCCCTGTCTAAAGTCAACTTTTATATTGAAAGGGCTGTTGCTGTAAGAGGGATTTCCAGGGATCGGACTCGCCAGTCAGAGAACTTCTGCAGGGAGGAGGCATGCTCTGTGTCACAGAGCGAGCAGGGATTTGGAGATGCTTCACTGGGATCAGAAAGCAGTCTTCAGAGGAGACCTCAGTGACAAGCTACGTGGCAGGCCATGTTTCAGAGTAGATAGAAGGCACACTGGGGACACCAAGGAGAAGGGCACTGTTATGCAGGAAAGTGCTGGCTCTGGGAAGAAATGCCAGTTCCTTGGCAGAGTCAGCTCTCAAGGGGGATGGAGACAAGAGGCTCCTAGATTAATAAAGTCAACAGGCCACCTCAAATGGTGTTGAATTCTCATTGTCACCTTCTGTAGGCCTGCTTTTAGTCGCTTGTCCTCAGGATTCTTCTTTTTGTTGCCTGAGAGATACGATGCAGTGCTGAGAGGAGAAATGAAATACAGTCAGGAAGTCGGGCTCAGGCTGGAAGGAGTGGAGACACCGTGGGCACTAGAGAAATTCAAACCAGGGCTCTGGCCCCAGTCCTGTCACTTACTAGCTATGTGACTTTGGGAAAAGACCAAGACCTGTGAGCCTCGGGTTCTTCATCTGCAAAATGTGCGTCATAAACCCTGTTCTGTAGGACTGTTGGAGTGTGTGCCATGTAAATAAAGTATCTGGTTTAGGAGCTGGTGTCAATCAGAACTTTCATGAGCAGCAGTTAGCTGTTATTTCCAATACTGTATTATTTTGACCTCAGCCCCTATGACAGTCCATTCTGAAATTGTTGTTGTTACCCTGAACATCTCAGAATATGCAGCTCAATGGGACATGGAATCCCAAATCAGTCAAAATGTTTCTCCTCAAATCAAACTCAGTATACTATTTTTCCTCTTAGGGGATGTATTTTCCGATTTGGGTGGACAGCAGTCTTTCCCAGCTGGATGCAGCTCACATCTCTAGGAAACTGAGTCAAGGACCAACTCCTTCCCTTCCTCTCTGCTGTTTATCCACCCAAACCATGATTTTCATTCATTTTTTTCCCAGACCAAAATTCTAGTTTGACTTAAGAGTTGTCCAAATTACACTAAAGGAGTCAGCTGGCATCTGGACAACAATTCATATGCTTATTTATCAGAAATCCTTCTCAGGAAATCCTTTCAGTCGATGGGTATAAAATACTTAGTCCCATGCACTATGTTAAAAGCACCGGGGTAAGAGCCCAGGACACCTTTCATATCTGCCCCCGGTGGAGATTCCTCTCTGCTTCATTCACCAACCAAAAGTAACTGCTTAGAGCAGTTTTGCATTCCAGGCTTTTCTTTCAGCCCTATGACTCACCGCCTGAGAGTCTGGCCCCTGCCACCCCCCACCCTGATTACGATCAGCTCCACAGAAGGAACTGAGGTTTCCCAAAGCCCCACATGGCCCTGCCTCAGGACATTTACATGCGGGTGCTCTTAGCTGGAGTCCCACACCCTCACCCTTCTCTTACGTTTCCTCTAGGTTTTAGAGGACATTTCACCTCCTTCATTACATGATTGCAGTTTCTATACCCTACCCCCTGTGGGGAAGGATGGATCTGGTATACCCTGACATCTCCACTAACCCAGGGCCTACCAAAGAGCAGATGTCCAATGAATATTGGGCAAAGAAATGGGTCAGGGAGCGTTGGTTTCATTTATCACAATTCAATTTTGACTTGAATAAGCTAACAAGATCTAGGCATATAACTTCTAATTTTAAAGAATGATACAACAAAAATAATGAATAAATCCAAAAATTAACACTTTTACACATTTTTCTCTATTTGACTGATACGTTTTTCACATTGCCAAGAAAATTCCTATTCCAATGCCATGCTGTTTTACTACAGATTACAGATAAGCTGGACGAATTCCCAATTTGTTTTATAAAATAGTAAAACTCTTTCTTAAACTGGATAAACAATAAATGTGTAACCAATGTCATTTATACTCCTAGATTCTGAAGCTAATAAACCTTATAGTAAAAGTAACAGCATTTTAAAATACCAAGAAGAAAAAAATAGAAGTGCCCAAGTCATCCAAACTGAATAGTAAGACAAAAGATGCTAAAACCAGTGTTTCCCTCAGTCCCAGCCTGGCTCTCCACTACTTCATCACTGTTTTCTTTTTTAAAAAATGTGTTTTTTTCAATTAAAAAAGGTGTTTGACATATAATTGCAGATATCTATGAGGTATAATTTGATGTTTTGATACATTATATGTTGTATAATGATCAAATCAGGGTAATGAGTGTAACCATTGCCTCAGGCATCTATCATTTCTTTGTGGTGAGAATGGTGAGAACATTCAAAACTTCTCATCTAAAGGGATTGGCAGTAGTGGGATAATGCTGGGGCAGGAGGGGGACACAACGTCAATAAGGATACCTGATCTCAAACCGAGCAAAGTGGGGACCAAAGGGAGGCCAAAATTTTACCTATATGATGACCACTTGTATACCTAATCCTGAATTGTACCCCACATCCTTAAAATAATATAAAAAAATTCTCATCTAGCTGTTTTGTAATATACAATGCCTTCTGTTAACTACAGTCACCCTACGGTGCAATAAACACCGGAACTTGTTCCTCCTATCTAGCTGTAACGTTTCCACATTGACTAGCCTCTTCCCGGCCCCTCCTTCCTTCTCCTCTACCTAGTCTCTAGTGACTGTTCTACTTTTTCCTTCTACATCAACTTAAAAAAAATTCCACATGTGAGTGAGACTATGCAGTATTTGACTTCCCCTTTAAAACATGGTGAAGAATCTGCCTGACTCTACTCACAGTAGAAGAGGCTGCTCGTGGCACTGGAACTTGCACTGGCCATGACAGTAGCATCATCTGTAGTGGTAATTCTGGCCTGGGTTCTCTCTTCCTCATCTCTTAAAGTCTCCTTGTACAACACTGGAAAGGATCTGGGATCTTTTGCCCTGATGTTGACCAAAAACTTCAGGAAATTCCTCTTGCTGATTTCAGCATAGGCCTTTGGACCCCACAGGAACTGGTAGCGTGCAGTATCACTTGCGAGCACCTGCTGGTATTGCAAGTACTTTTCCTGCACCCATTCTTTGGTGAGGAGCTTCCCGGGCTCCCCATAGATGCAGTGCTCCCTCCCCACATATGCCCCCTTAACACACAGTGCTTCCCAGATGACCTCAGGAGCACAGTAGCCCTCCATGAAGATAAGGCTTAGGATATTTATCAAGAGGCCGGTCTTGGGCTTGCTGTTTTCATCCCTCTGCATGCCATCGTAGGAGAGGCCCAGGGAGGTGACAAGGACATAGGAGTGGCTAATAGGGTCCACTTCCTTAATTTCAAGGCCAAAGATCAGCCTCATGCACTCGGAGGCTTCCTTGAAGATCACAGGGAAGTGGTCCTTGTAATTTTTGATGACACTACTCAGCATTTCTACCTTTGTCACTGGCTCTTTGATTCGATACTTATGGAGCAGGAACTCCACCAAATCACCCACCATCTCATCTGTCTCACTTTCGAACAAGTACTCAGTGTCTGGCAGGGCCTGCAAAGTGCTTGGACTTTCCTTTCTTTGGTTGCTGAAGCCCGCATCAGATTGGCTTAAAAATGTCGAGGCAGTGCCAATGGGGAAGGAGCAGCCTGTCTGAGGACTCAGGGAAATCCCCAGTGTCCCAGCATCAGCAGAAACCCCCTCTGGGGTGCTCAACATTAGAGGATACCAAAAGGAAGAGGAGGAGGGAGAGGAGGAAGGGAAAGAGGGCAGAAAAGAAAAGGAGCAGGTGGAGACGGATGAGAAAACATCATCCTTCACAGCTGGGAAAACACGGGCACCCACCCATCAAGCCCTGTGTCTCACTTTGAGACTGAAGTTCTTCCTTAAGTGTGTAGCACCGATGCTTTCGAGCTCTGGGCATGATGACTCTGGACAGGGCAGCAGGCAGGAGTGTGGGCAGGGGCTGGGCGATGGGGACCCACAGGCCTGGGGAGAGAGGGAGAGAGGGAGCGGCCCCAGCTGAGAACCGCGCCCCAGAGGCCCAAACAAAGGCCTATTTACAGGTCTTCTCCTTAGGTGCAGCTCTGGGGCTCCCGGGGCTCCTGTCCTCCCGGTCGGCCTGTTCCCTGAGACCCTGAAGGAGGAAGTGAGACAGCTCCTCAAGGTGCAGCCGGCCACCAGAACCGAGGCTCTGGGGCTGACCGTGGGGCGGGTGGGGCTGAGCACCGTGGGGTCCCCTCTGTCTTGGGGCGGTTGGGGTCCTTGGGACACATTCAGGGCGAGCACCTCACCTTGACTTCTGGCACTGCTCTGTGAGGTGAAGACACCGCCTTGGACCAAGGCCTCACTTCCCTATTCCTGGAGCTTCTGGAAGAGAAATCGAGGGGCCCTCCGATTGCAGACTGCAAGCACAGCCTGGGACCCCCAGCACTGTTGGGAGGGTGGCCCAGACTCTGTGAGGTCCTAACTCTTGGGTGGACGGTCGCAAATGTGCTCATCAGGGCCCTCAGCTATCTCCTGGCAGGGCCTCAACCCACGCCTCTGCTGGCCTGAGGAATTCTCAGAACAAGAACTCACATCCTGAGACCTAGGAGAAGGCAGCGAGTGAACTCCACACCTGGGCACCACTGCCCAGTGTCAAGAGGTAGCCAAGAAGGACGCCAAGAGGTTACCAAATTCAGTGAAGTCCATCTGTCCTGGGAGTTGGAAATGAAGGGATACTGGAGGCAGCCACCATGCTTTGGGTCCTCCCGTGGCTGACAGAATGGGAAGGGAATGCTCCTGAGTTTTAACAGAGACTGGGCCCTCTTTCCTCCACAGATCTGAAGCCTGGTCCTCAGAACCAGGCCTTCACCTCTTTCTGACCTCACCCCCAGGTGGAAGTCAGTGGACATTACCTCACCCTACCCGGGGCCTCCCAGGGCTAACAGCAGGGCTGGAGAAGGACTTTGGACTTTGTGGGTTCCCTATATCAGGATGGAGTGGGTCCCCCCCAGTCCTCAGAATCCTGACCTTGATGCCTGCCAGGGCCTGGAACCTTGCCCTCTATAAACTTGAGTCTGCTTTGGTTACACCAAGCTATGACTCCTGAGTCCTCTGAGGCCTAAGGGGGGAGGGGCCCAGCCTGGCAAGTGTGCTCCCCAGTGGTCCTTAGCTGAAAGTAGAGGCATAGCTGGGGTATCGGGTTCCTCTGTCTGGGGTGGAGGCCTCCTTAGTGCCCCTCAGTGTCTCACCTAACTCCTAACAGAGCCTGGATCCGCTCCCCTCAGCCAATCTGAAACCCAGACCTCACACCAAGGCCCTCGCTTCTCTCCGACTCCTGAGGAAGAAGCCAGTGGACGTCACATCCGCTCATCCCATCCTTACGTTTCCCAGGGCTGAAAAGGGCTTCTACTAGGGATGAGGAAGGAGTGACTTCAATCATTCCTCAAGAACCTGACCTGAACGCCTGTAGAGTCTGGCCTCTCGTCCTCTGCCGACTGGTGTCTGCTCCCCTCACACCAAGGTCCTGATTCCCAGAGTCCCCTGCAGTGACAATGGGAGGAGGGATGTGAGGGGATGGGTGTGGTCAGGCTGATGCCGCTGTCCGGGTCTGCCAGGGGCTGAGCTGGAATCTGTGTGTCTCTCCGTTTGGGACGCGTGGACCCACAGTCCTCATTCTTGAGGGTTCTCATCTCAGCTTCTGGCTCTTAAATTAAGTGATCGACAGGACGTGTCCCCTCCCTGCCACCTCTGAGCATTTGCCCAGCTGGAACCCCTACAGAGAATGACTGCGGGTTCCAGGCTCGATGCTGCATGAGGGCTGCGGCACCCATGGTTGTAGTGGCCCATGACAGGTGACTCACACCTTCCCGTGGGGACTCTTCAACAGCCAGAGTAGAGTTTGAAACCTTTCCTAATAAAATACTTATTTTCACACTGAAGAGACTGACCAGCAGCAAAGGATTTGGGGGACTCCTGCTTTTCTTTTGTGTGTGTGAGAAAGCAGGATTTATTCAGAGGACAGAAAAGCTCCCCCGGTGGGAGGGGACCCCAGGGGGTTGCCCGGGTCCCGCTTTTCAAAGTTATCTAATATTTCAAAGTACAGTTCAGTGATTTTCGTATTTTTAATCCCCAGTCATATGGCAAGAAATAGATTTTTACATATCTGTCAATTGTATGTTTCGATTATATATAGTATCTAGATTATACTTATTTACATAAACATGTATGTGTATGTGATACATGTGTAATTGTATGTATTTGGAGCCTGTCGTTCTGCAAGATTTATTTTTGCTTTGAAGACGCTGAGAAGCAGCAAGAGATTTAGGGCAGTCGTGTTTTTTGAAGTTATCTAGCATTTTGTAGTACAGTTAAGTGATTTTCATATTTTAATCCTCATTCACCTAGCAAGAAATGTGTTTTACGTCTCTCCCAACAGTATATGTCGATTATTTATAAAATGTTATGAAAGGATACCTACCCTTACTATTTGTGATTCATTTGTTATTGTATTTCTAGTTCATTCTTAATATTCCAGCAAAATAATTTCTCAAAAGGCCAGTCATGACCAAGGTGGCTTCAAGTGGTTGTTAGCACAGACTCCAGGATATATACCGCCTCATTTAACTCTATTTTTCTTGATGTCCTGATATCACCCCAGGGCTACTGGCATCCTGGTGTGAGGTGCTGCCTCAAGTTGACCAATATGAAGCAGGGCCAGAATTTCAAACACTTCCTCCTACCTACTCTGTCATTTGTCCACTACGCAGGCTACAGACTTCCCCAATTACCCTGCCACTCTCCTCCCTCAAAACAAGTACAGTTCAACAGTCTGCAGTCTCCTGAGGGTCTTCTCATGTTTTGTTGCTTAGAATGTGTTGAGTGTTAATGTCTTATCCCCTTTTCCCTTCCAGAATTGATTTTGAAGTGTAAGTCAACAACATGAAGCTCATGCTCATCTTGGCCTACAGGGAAAGCACTAACTCTAGAAAGTTTTGTAGTTGCCACCATTAAGTTCTTGTTCATTTTTGTTAGGATTATTTTTAGGCAATTTTTGTTTTGTTTTTTTGTTGCTGTGAATGAGATGTTTTCTATTATATGTTTTAATTATTTACTGCTTTTTTTGAGACAACTTTCTTGATTTTGCCATAACGAGCTTCTGCACAACGTTTTTTCTTAAGTCTTTTTCTCATTTAAATATTTCATGTGCTTATTCCTTTGAATTTTCTTTAAGGGTAACATTGTCACCTAATATGTCTTTCTTTCCAATATTCATATCTTTGGCTGATACCCATAGCTCTGGCTGTGTGCTTCAGTACCGTTTTGATTGGTAGAGGTGATAGCATACATTTTTTTCTCGATCCTGACTTTAATGGGATTTATTTTAACATTTCACATTGAGGAGTGTTTGCTGTGGATTTTTAAAAATGGAAGTTTTATTCTAGTGTTCCTTTGCTTCTTTTTTTGACAATGATCTTGTGTTGAATTTGTTTTAAATGCTTTTTATATACCCATTAGCATGATTTTTTTCCTCTAATTTGTATACATGGTATTACAACTAAAAGCATTTTCTAATGTTAACATTTTAACAAATTTAAGTTTTATTCTAGTGTTACTTTGCTTCTTTTTTTTTTACAATGATCTTGTGTTGAATTATTTGAAATGTTTTTTATATAATCATTAATATGATTTTTTTCCCTCTAATTTGTATTCATGGTATTACAGCTAAAAACATTTTCTAACGTTATATCATATTTTTATTACTTGGACACAGCCTGTTTGTTCATTTAATTTATTATTATGTTGAATCACTATTGAATTATTTAGATATGTGCTGCTTTGTGAGAGATTGACTCAAGTATTCTTTTTACTGAATGTTCTCATCTGGTATTTGAATCAAGGAATATTAGCCTAGAAAAATGAGTTGACTAATTGTCCGTTATTTTGTGTGCATTGGAAGAGTTTACAAAAGAAGGAAATTTTGTTTTTCTCTGACCATTTGTTAGAACTTGCTTCCAAAACTGCCTTATCCTAGAACACTTGACAGTGGCTGGAATTTTGAATACTATAAAGTTTCAGTTTATATTATTTGATTAAACCTTTAAGTTGTCAATTTTGCTTAGAATTTCAAATTTAATGGCATGATATGTACAATGCAAACTTTTTATTACAGAAATTTCCAATATATACAACAGTAAAGAGAATGGTATGATGAACCAGTATATAAGACTCAGTATCAACTGTCAATATATGTCTAATCTGGTTCCAATTATACCTTCATCCACTTTCCTCTTTTGCTGCTGGAATTATTTGATATCTGGTATATCCCACACATCATACCATTTTATTTCTAAGTACTTCGTGTGCTTTTATAAAAGTTAATAACTCTTTTGTGATGCATAAATTCAATAATTAATCCTATATAATCCTGAAAATTTAACCGATCACCAAATGCCCAGCTATTTTTTTGTATTTATCTAGCAGTCATATACTTAAAAAAATAGCTTCTTTGAATTAGTGTTTAAGTATGATCTAATCATTGAAGTTTTTATGTCCCCTAAATCATTTTTAACCTATAATTCTTCCCTTTGTTATCTCTTTTTCCTTGCAATTTAAAGCGAAAAAATACAAAACAAAATAAACAGGTCGTGTGTTTTGTCTGGTTTCCCATAGTACGGATTTTGCGGAACTGCAACACTTGTAGTGTCCCTTAAGCAGTTAGTTAGGCCTTACTTTCTGACACTACAAAATGCTCCAGACTTATTATTTATTTATTTATTTTTGAGTTGGAGTCTCACTCTGTCGCCCAGACTGGAGTGCAGTGGCCGCTCCCGGTCCCGCAGCCTCGACCTGCTGGGCTCCGGTGATCCTTCCGCCTCAGCCTTCCAAGTAGCCGAAATTACAGGCATGCGCTACCACGCCCAGCTGATTTTTTGATTTATTGTAGAGATGAGGTCTAGCTGCCCGGGCGGGTCTCGAACCCGCGGGCTCAGGCAATCCACTCACCTCAGCCTCCCAAAGGCGCGGGATTACAGGTTGAGCCACCGAGCCCGGCTCAGACTTATTTTATATGCATTCATCCTTCAGTATCCATGGGGGCTGCAAGACCTCCTGTGGATACCAAAACTTGCAAATGATCAAGTCCCTTATAGAATGGATTTATATTTTCAGATAACCTATGCACATCCTCCTACATACATTAAATAATCTCTAGATTGCTTGTAACACCTAATACAATGTAAATGCTATGTAAAAAGCTATACTCTATTGTTTAGGGAATGATGACAAGAAAGTCCATACACTTTCAGTATAGATGCATTTTTAAAAATACTTTTTTGATCCTCGTAGTTTGAATGCATGGATGCAGAACCCAAGGATCTGGAGGGTAGACTATATTCCATCCTCCAGTCCTAGAATCAGCCATTTCTCTAAGGAACTGTAATTTCTTTTATCGGATGATGGTTTTAGAAACCTAGAATAAGTGCTAGGTATGCTTGTTGCTACCGGGGAGTTGTTACTTCTAGGCTTTCTCAGCTCACAGATCAATGACATTTTTATAGGTATGTGTATATACGTATGCCTATAAATATACATACCTATAAAATCAATGAAATATATATATATAGGTATGATAGGTATAGGCATGTATACCTATAATTATATATGTAACCATCTGTATCTGTATTGACTGAAACATAAGTTAATGCTGATGTTTCCAACTTTAATCCATGACCACAAAGATTATTCTAGTCTCCTCCCTTTGCCTACCTGTAACATCCCATTTTAACAGTGGGAAACCTGGCTCTCACTCTGTGCCAATCCATTCAACTAATTGTTCAATTCCCATATACAGGTATAGTAGTTTCAGAATTGTTAACCTGTACTCTTGTGGGAAACAACTTTACTAGCTACAGTACAGCACTTATATACAGTTCCTTTTGAATTTCGCTTTACAACGTTTATTCCCAAGTTACACAGGACAGCAAATTCCCCTTACACCCTTCAGTGAGATTGTTTCATAATACAGTTAGAATCTTTTGCCACACTCTGCATTCCATCCTGGGATTCCATAATCTCCTAAATTATTTTCTAATTGTTAACACCTTAAAATTTAATCTTTGTGCTGTAAGGTTTTTTTTTTTTTTAATGATTTTTAACAAACAACCCCTGTCATGTAGGCACCATTACAATATCATAAAAATAGCTTTACTGTCTTAATAAATCTTTTGTGCTCCGTATGTTTACTATCTTTATCATTTTTCCCTTTGCAAAATGTCAAGATAATGGAGTCGTACATGCTCTAGTCTTTTCTAACCGGCTACTTTCACTTAGCAATATACATTTAAGATTCATTCATGTCTGAGCATGTCTTTTAGGTCATTCTTTTTTATTGAGGAATAATATGCTACTGTAAGGCTGTGTCACAATTTGTTTATCCATTTTTCAATTAGAAGATATCCTACAGCAATTATCAAATTAGCAGCTATAAACATTAATCTGTGTATTTTGTGTGGACGTAAGCTTTCAAATCAGTTGAGTAAATATCCAGGAATGTGCCTGCTGGTTGTATGGTGAGACTATGATCAGTGTGTTTCAGAAAGTGACAAACTGTCTTCCAAAGTGGCTGTACCATTTTGCATTTCTACCAGCAATGAATGCGAATTCCTGCTTTGTATTCTAACCAACAATTGGA